GGGGGGAGGAGATGCAGTTTTCTATGGTAGGTCAACTCCGCAGCTCTTTCAATTGGGTTATGCTAATTAAATTCTCAGGGTTTCGTTGACTCCCGAAATCCATCAGTTGCGAGGCTTTCCTTTTCCTTTAAAGCCTGAGTGCCTGCTGTTAAAGGCTCCAGTAAATACAAAGCATACGTAATTTTCATTACGTAAAAGCAGCAGCGAGATCATAATGCGTTCTTCGTAACAATGCTTGCATGGCAGTGATTAGTCCAGTTCTTGCCAACCTTGGCGTTATGGCCCACTAGTAGATGATAATTTGGTAATTTGAGTGGGCGGAGGGGTCACCCAGATAGTGACGGATATTATTAATGTGTGTGGCATCATGGTGAAATCAGACGCTCGCCAAAATGATGAAATCAAAGAAACCGACATTTTCCTGCCCGTGGGCAATTTTTATCAAATTTTTCCTTGTTGAGCGTCAGGGGTAGGGGAGGGGAGAGGTAGGGGGTTCAACTCCTTTTATGTCCATTTGAAACACATTCTTACTTGGGCATTAGGCTTACTGATTGACGATCGTTAAAATGATGAAATCAAAGAAACCGACATTTTCCTGCCCATTTGGCAATTTTTATCTTTTCTTTTTCTTTTTGGGCGACGGGGGAAGGGGGGGGGGTATCACCTTTTATGTCCATTTAAAAACATTTTCTTCCTTGGACATTATGGATTGAAAAGAAAAGTTGACCAAAGACACAAAAGATGTCTATTTGCAGCTTCCCAGGACACTGCAGCTTTGGAAGCCACCAAACTTTGGCGGCCATTTTCTCGCTAATTTTCTGACACCAGGTGACCCCCACCTCTTTCAATCGCAAATATCTCGACTTCATCAAGATAGGTGTATTTTTCCATCAAATGCACCGCAAGTGAACAGGCTGTAAGATTTTATTATAGGCCTACAAATAAGTCTCATTATTATGTCCCCTAAAAAACTGATCAGCACCTGATTCCACCGCGTCATGACACATTTAATTCCCAGCTTGGAAATACAATACTGGTGGGTGGGCAGTACGAAAATGTGCTGGCTATAAATACGTTGTCAAGCACTGGGCTAGACCCCCTCGTAGTATGATCTGCTTATTTACTTGTCCTCCGTTGTTGCAGGTAGGCCTAGTCTGTTTTACTATAACTACGGATAACAACAGTGGGAATTATCTGCATGTTCTTTTTACGTAAAACCTCAGTTACGCGAATAACTAATTATTACTTATTTATTTGGAGCCCGTCGATTCTGCTGGGTGATAAGGAGCATAAAAGCGTCCACAGAACAGATCTATGTGGATGGAGTAGGTGGTCCAGTGGTTAGAGTTACTCGTTGACTGACTAATTATTACTTATCTATTTGGAGCACGTACCAGACGAAGCCTTGGCTGACCTCTGGCGTTTTCGAGCTGCTATTTCCGTGCGATTCTGCTGGATGAAAAAGAGAATGAAAGAGTCCACATTACAGACCTATGTGGGTGACGTAGGTGGTCCAGTGGTTAGGGTTACTCATGGAGTCGTCATAGTGAAATTGCGGGTTCGCGGCTCACGGTCCGAAGGTCAGCTCGGTTTGGCGTTGTGTTATTGAGAAAGGTACTTTACACGAATTTTCCCATTCGGTTTAGACCTGTAGTGGATGGACGCTAAATTTGTATTAGATTTTTCCCCTTAAATAACCTCAAAATGTTACAAAAGACGTTAAACCTATAGTCGTGGCCTACAGGCTAAGGTGTTCCCCTATATTCCCCTACAATGTTGCATATTTTAAAGCCTTTGGAGGATCGCCGGTTCACCATTTTGAAAAGTGGCGTATGGGAGTCCAAATGACTGGTTGTGAAAGATCAGTAATCAAAACCATCAAATAAAGAGATACCGGGTGTCTTAAAAAAGGACTCATTTAAATGACAATATCTCGGTCATCTATAAACCGACTTCAATGAAACTTTGAAGAAATAGAATTCAACCAGGGGGACATTACATTTTTAAAATGGAACAAATCAACCACCATGTTCGAAAAAAAATCAATTTTTTAAAGATTTCAACGATACACAAAACTTTGCTATTTCTTAAAAATCAACTATATTTATATATTTCAAATAGTCACTATGTGTGCACTAAAGAACAAATTTATACAAAAAATTATAATATATTGCCAAATAAACCCAGGGAGGAAATGGCTATTTAAATCTCCAGGGATTGACTATTTTTCTCCCTGCAAGCTCCCATACGCCATTGGAAATTTTGATTACAATCATGGCGTGTTTTGGGGTCGATTCTATGGAACGATAGAGGGAAAGCAGAGTAGACGAAGACAAAGAACAACACACACAGCTGGCTGGGGGGCTCTTGTGGCCTAGAGGTTAAGTTGTTTACCTCTCATTCAAAGGTCCCGGGTTCGAATCCGGGTAGGGACGGAACATTTTCTTCTTTAAAAAATTGTTTACTTTCACCTCCTTTCCTGCTCTGTAGCAATGTTCTGTCGTCTGCTTTCGTTTCCACTTTCTGCCCCAACCCCCTCACCTCCTTTGCACCCTCCTCTGGGCTCCTGACTCTTTCTGCAGCCTTTCTACTGGTACTCCTTGGCTCCTTCTTACTTTTTCTAAACCAAGAAAGAGTCCGCATTGCATACCGATATCGCCTTGGTGAAATATTTTCCATAGACTTGTTCTAAACAAAGAGTACTACCCGCACGACATGTTTGTGAGTGTTTCCCATTCTGACTGGTCTGTGAGCACTACAAACATCAGTTCTTGAGGGCAAAGTGTCTACACGAAGTCGTCGAACTTGAGACCTTTTACTTAAAAGTGTAGAATCACTGACAAGTCAGTTTTTGGGCATATAGACTTATTAATGATATCGTCTGAAAGCTTGTTCACGTATCTTGTTTTTGATGAAGCAGAACATTATTACCTATCTTGAGCAGAAATTGACATTGAGTGTCCATATACTTTGAAACTGGAAATTTACGTTTTGTAACTTTGATCCACGTTTTTCTATAAATTCCGCGCAGAAACGTGTTGAGAAAAGAAAAGAATAGATCTAGATAAATTTGCCCAGTCGAAGATAAGAGATGTCGGTGTCTTAGGTTTCCATATTTTGACGTGAGCTAGATTTTACTTTGATGTATCTCAAATGTATATATATATATTTGTTTAAAAGAGAGCCAAGTAATTTGTCCTGACGGAAGTATGGGCTTTTGTGTAAGCGCGTCAGTGCATAGCTCTGTAGATGTGAGTAGGTGTGCGTGCGTGAGTGCGCACGCACGCGTACATATGTGCGTCACTTTGTGTGTTTTTGTCTGTATCCGAATGATGCATGTGTGCGAACCGGTGTATACAGTTACAATGTGTTCCATCCCTGCTGTGTTCAAGTTCATTCTCGATATGGGACGACGAAACAAGCAAGTGAATAACTTATTACTCTGCGGCATCACCACAAGACTTCTCCACACATTACACTAGTTTGTTGGCAGGGAAAATCAAGCTTTTCGATTACCTTATCCGTACGTCGGGTTTTACTATCGTATCCATTCGACGTGCCACCACTTTCATAAAGGAAATTTACTCTTTAATCCAATCCGTACGCTTTGCATAGCAGTCTGTCAAAATGATTTTTTGAGAAATACTGAAAGTATCAAAGAGATCTTCGTACTAGATCTAGAAGTATTCTAAAATGTGAAGAATACAACCCTGTGGGGTACAAAATGACCCCAGGGCGTACGGATAGGGCTAACTGGTTGTCGTAATAGGTTGCATTTTTGTATGCTTTTGTTTTGTTTTTGTTGGGGGGGGGGGGGGGGGGGG